AACGTTCTGATGCTGACAGTTACTAACAACATGACCTTCAACCACAGTCCTAAAGATAACAAGTTAATGTTCTGTTGCTGACAGTTACTAACAACATCACCTTCAACCACAGTCCTAAAGATAACAAGTTAATGTTCTGATGCTGACAGTTACTAACAACATCACCTTCAACCACAGTCCTAAAGATAAGTTAACATCCTGATGCTGACAGTTACTAACAACATCACCTTCAACCACAGTCCTAAAGATAACAAGTTAACGTTCTGATGCTGACAGTTACTAACAACATCACCCCACAGTCCTAAAGATAACAAGTTAACGTTCTGATGTTGACAGTTACTAACAACATCACCCCACAGTTCTAAAAATAACAAGTTAACGTTCTGATGCTGACAGTTACTAACAACATCACCTTCAACCACAGTCCTAAAGATAACAAGTTAACGTTCTGATGTTGACAGTTACTAACAACATCACCTTCAACCACAGTCCTAAAGATAACAAGTTAACGTTCTGATGCTGACAGTTACTAACAACATCACCTTCAACCACAGTCCTAAAGATAACAAGTTAACGTTCTGATGCTGACAGTTACTAACAACATCACCTTCAACAACAGTCCTAAAGATAACAAGTTAACGTTCTGTTGCTGACAATTACTAACAACATCATCCCACAGTCTTAAAGATCACAAGTTAACGTTCTGATGCTGACAGTTCCTAATAACATCACCTTCAACGACAGTCCTAAAGATAACAAGTTAACATTCTGATGCTGACAGTTACCAACAACATCACCCCACAGTCCTAAAGATAACAAGTTAATGTTCTGATGTTGACAGTTACTAACAACATCACAATCAACCACAGTCCTAAAGATAACAAGTTAACGTTCTGATACTGACAGTTACTAACAACATTACCCCACAGTCCTAAAGATAACAAGTCGATGTTCCGATACTGACAATTACTAACAACAAATAATCAGTATTTGAATTGTTAAAATACATTTCATTTAAATGTTGGTGTTTGAAACTAACTTGGTCAATGGGACATCCAGAAGTGGTCAGCAGGTTTTGTGATTGGACCAACAGGACTTGAAGTAGTTTCTCCTTGACGTCGTGTGTCACATTCATCTTTGGCCGACTGAAACAGAGTATGTAGTTAACTTAGTGACACTACTAGAAACAATGATAGGACACACACTAACCCTAGAATGATATGTGACTAACTTCTACCATGGTGTGTGTATATTTAACGAAGTCAGATCTAAGAGTGGTCCCGATATCTTGTCTTAACCTTCCCTCTAACAGAAAATTATACATAAAAAATAGTAAATTCATAAACAACATTACTGGCTAACTCACACACTAAAAGTACATAATTTGTACATAATACCAACAAAGTTACAAGTATACAACAAAAACTGTAAGTGTTTAGATGTTTGAGAAAACAGAATACTTATAAACCATAACAGTTACATATGATAAGCAGTTGTGGTTTGTCCAGTGGAATTTAAACCAACTCCTGACAGAAGTTATGTCAACGACACTTTTGTAACAAAGAACATATAAATAATTTCCAGAACTTCCTTAAATCTCAGCACCCACGTACAAAATTTACTAAAATAAACTGTCCTTTTTAAATATCCAACTTGATCATTTGAACAACCTGTTTACAACATCTGTCTATCAATAGAAAGTTTTAAATCCTTTAATAAGGTAACTTACAGAACATAAACCTTCTTTAGTAAATAATACTTATGTTGAGATTTCATAAACTATTTTATTTTTCAGATGGAAGTTCTTAAAAAACATTCTTGCTAATTATCACAATTTTACTTGTCAAAATGTATGAATTTAAACTAATATAGTGGCTCTCAACCCGTGGTCAATGGACAGTTAAATACTTTCAGAGGAGAAGCATACAGATCCCCTTGTGTTCCACCAAGATTTAAAAAAACATTCAGATGGTTCACGATTATAAATATTTGAGAACCACTGAACTAAAGTATAAAGTTTCAGAAGAAGTTTGAACCCCCAGATGTCATTCTGTCAAATACCTTTGGACCTGGAATAACGTTCTTATAGTAAAATACAATTACTTCTCAGTACACGACATCAAGTAGACCTTGGACCACATCTACATAAGAGCATTTTTTACTTAGATTGTCTTTAAGACAGTTGTGGCCTACTTAATACATCCTGCTGACAACCAGAAAAAAATACTTAATTGCTTATCATGTATCAACTCAAATTACATTTTGAGGTAAGTCAATCTTTAGCAATACTGTTGTTGAAAATGTAAGTTTCATTTGGTTCCATGTTGCTTTAGAATTATCTGATTCTTTTAGGTTTTTCTTCCCTTGTATCATCTGGTGATCCTTCAGAGTGCTATTAGTTTAAACTTCCCTTGTATCATCTGGTAATACTTCAGAGTGCTATTAGTTTAAACTTCCCTTGTATAATCTGGTAATCCTTTAGAGTGCTATTAGTTTAAACTTCCCTTGTATCATCTGGTAGTCCTTCAGAGTGCTATTAGTTTAAACTTCCCTTGTATCATCTGGTAATCCATTCAGAGTGCTATTAGTTTAAACTTCCCTTGTATCATCTGGTAATTCTTCAGAGTGCTATTTTTTCTTCTTCCCTTGTATCATCTGGTAATCCTTCAGAGTGCTATTAGTTTTTTTTATTCCCTTGTTACAACACTCAGTGTAAGGAATTCTAGATGGCACCAATAAATTTCTAAGTAAAATGTATAGGGAATCCAACAGTAGTTAATCCATTGTTGACTGTAGATGACTTTACATTTTTGGGGGAGATCCATACATTATTAGGCACCTTAAAATCAAACAAGTCATGGACATTAAGCAGTTTGGTGAATAAATAATTTAGTAAAAACATTATTTATAAAACAGATTGGTGTGGACCCTATCAAAATTTTATGGTACTTCATTTCTATTATTACTTGCTGCTCAATCAGGATTATACATTGATGTAGTTATTAGTGAAATGTTTTAAGTCTGATCCCCATGGGTTTACAGACGTATTAATTAAGAACTTATATTATCAGAGCTTGATTTAGAAATTCTTGGCTAGGTAAGACTGAACAGTTCAGGTGTCTACTACTGACTCTAGTGAAGTCTGAACAGTTTGGGTTTCTACTACTGACTCTAGTGAAGTCTGAACAGTTTGGGTTTCTACTACTGACTCTAGTGGAGTCTGAACAGTTTAGGTTTCTACTACTGACTCTAGTGGAGTCTGAACAGTTTAGGTTTCTACTACTGACTCTAGTGGAGACTGAACAGTTTGGGTTTCTACTACTGACTCCAGTGGAGTCTGAACAGTTTGGGTTTCTACTACTGACTTTAGTGGACTATGCAGTTTGGGTTTCTACTACTGACTCTAGTGGAGACTAAACAGTTTGGGTTTCTACTACTGACTCTAGTGGAGACTAAACAGTTTGGGTTTCTACTACTG